ATATATTTCTTCACAATCACAAACAATAAACCAAAAGCTCCATTTATTGAGCAACTTTCCCTGTTACTAATTTATAGATACTTTGTTTCCCAAATGATTACTGCTAAAAGAGTGCCTATCTCACATATATAATTTTCTTTATCTGTTGTCTCCCACAATGAAATTAATTTTATTTAAGTAATTTTACTTTCATTGTAACCTTTACTGATTTTAAAAAATCAGAAAAATGGTCAAAAATCACAAAATATGCTTTGGAACTGTGAAGAAATATATTTAGATATACTTTACTTAATTGGAAAATGCCTCCACTAACACCTGAATATTGACTTTGCAAAGAATGTGATTGAAAACACTTTTGAATGAGAATCACCTAGTAGAATTCTATGACTGTCCTGGCGTTTGGTTTTAAAATATCTTAAATAGGCAATAGAGAAACTTTTGAGGCTACAATGTATGGACTGATTTAATTATATAATATGAAGGTTTTTTATCTTCATACTTATGCTTTATTATTTATTCTGGTCTTAAAGCAATGTAACTTTGGTATATATTACCAATTTGAATATATCATAAGTATTGTTAGCTACTGTTTTGTATTCATTTCAAAGAAAATGATCTCTGTCAATGATTGTACACAATATACATTGATCAGAATGTACTTACACATGATCTCTGACTTTACAGGCCTGGACAATCTATGATCAGTCAATAGCCATTGAGAACTTCCAGTGCTTATCTGAATTTCTCTCTACTATTTTTCTGTTCTATATTTGACCAGTAATACTCATGCCAGTATTTTATTCTATTATATAAATGATTCTTTTGGGGGGAGAGTAATTTAAATTTCTGAATCATTCTGAGGGAAAAAAAATGTCAGTGGAAGGGACATTCTGTTTTATATATTCAGCCATTTCTGTACCAAAGTGCTGGATGTCATAAAGTCAGGTCTCTGACTGTATGACGGAGAAATAATGGAGAAAATTACCATTTCTAAAGCTTTGCTGGTGATATTTTAAGACCATTTGTTCTTCCAACAAATTTATCACCAGAAAAAAAAAAAAAGGTGTACCTGGGCACTTTATGTAGCCCCTTATCATTGAGATCATTTGGGAGAAACTAGTCTTCCAGGTCTCTGTGAAGCTGCGTGTGTGGCTGCTGTTTTCAGAGCCCATCTCCTTCCTGGCTACACTAGAGCCTGGCAGTCTGCCAGTGGAGTTCCCCTGATGTCTATATTGCACTTGGCCATTGGGTGGAGGCATACCCCAAGTTAGGAAATAAGCTTGCTTAGAAAGGCCTGAGACACAAGAGAAGATTAGTGATATTTTATGAGAGTGATAGAGAAATGTCCCTATTCTTCAATTAATATTCAAAACATTGAAGACAGACTTCAGAGGTCTCTCTGATTGCACCCATCTAACTGCAAAATAAGCTTATTAATATTGTCGACAGATGTGAGAATCTGTAAACATATATTTCAAGACCTAGGTTTTAAAATAATAAACTTCATATAGAATGGTAAGTGGCAGAAATCTCAAAGTTTTCTGATTAAACTTCTGATATCCTGCTATTTACTCTCCATTTTAAACAGTATGTTTATCCTCTGTATAGGCTTACTTATCTGCAAAAAGGAGAAAAATATGTGGCACTAATAGCTGAGGGAGACTTAAATTCAAATCAAGGAAGAGGAGCATGCTTTCACATGCAAAACACCCATATGTATAAATATATATATCAGCTTGTAAAATTATCTGTTTAGGTTGGTGCTGGCTAACATCCAAGAAGATGAGGCTAAAAATAACATTACCATCTTTACAAGAATTCTAGACAGACTTCTGGATGGTTACGATAATCGACTTAGACCAGGACTGGGAGGTAAAAATAGTTCTGTTTTATTTTAAATGGTCACATAATAATGCTTTCACAAGTTAAGGGTGATATTCCCATTTTAATGCGTTATATATATGAAGACATTGTTGTGCATTCAAACTCCTATGTAATGGAAAGTAAGATATATGAAAGAATCCTTATCAGAGACTCCTTTTGTATACACGTAATGTCTTTAATATACATTTTATAGAATGCCTAAAGTCACATGGAGACTACCTTTAAGGCATGAATGTTTCCTAACTAATTTATTAGGAACGGACCATTTTACAATCTGGGAGTACGTCAAGGTTTGCTATTATTGAGCAGATATACCTGTGTAGTGTCACGGGTTACTCAGTTTACACATTTGCTGATGTCTGTTTTCATACCAATTTAGATAGGTAAAAATAAGAATCATGAAAATGTTTTAAATACATTGGCTATAAACCTACATTACAAAGTTGTGACACAGTTTGATTTTGGAGTTAAGCAATAATTTTCAAGTTGGACAAATAAATATATTTTTATTCATGAAGTAAAGAAATTAGGATTGACTAATTTGTTAAATTTCAATTAGCCTGAAGCATGGCTAAGTGATGTTAAAGAGTTTGACCAAAGTAGGATAGGTACGTAGCCTATAAATAAATGTTGTTACCTAGCAATCTA